TGTGAAAGAAGAAATTAAAAATGAAGTTGAAAAAGAAATATTTGAAGATCTTGAAGAGGAAAGTGACGCATTAGATAGTAGCGTTAGAGGTAATTTAATTTTTCTCTTTATTTATAATTTATCCACTGCAAGTTTTGGGTAAATTTTTGAAGAAAAAGTATCGTTAAAATTTTTAGAGTTGAATGATGCAAAGCCATGGAGACTTCGTAGAGCTATTCAAAGAGTACGATGGAGAAAAGTTGCTCCTTACATACCATTTGTTGTTAAGACGGTTGGTAAAAAGTAACGAAAACAACTAAAATAAATCTTTTTGTAATATGAGCTTCAAAATAATTCGTTTAGAATCATTTTTGCATTTTCTGGTCAATTCTTCGTTAGCGAGACACATGCTACGATAAGCTAGGCAAAAATGGTGTTAAAATTTAAATTTGGTGTTAAAAAGTTAGGTTATTAACAATGATATAAAACTCTTTGAATATACATAATACAATACGTACTTGCTTTCTGGAAATGTTTTTATATTTCCTTTAATAATTTTGTGGTTTTTATAAATGATTCTCAAAATTTTGAAAAAGTCTACTTATAAGCCATGTTTATAAAGCACGCCTAGAAACGAAAGTGTTTTTCTTGCATAATTAATACGTAAAATAAAAAAGGATCTAACGTGTTTCGAATAATATCATTTTTTCAACTTTTTTTTTGTTTCAAAAATTTTGTTTTATATTTATTCAAAAAAATAACAATTTTAAAATTCAAGCTGAAGTTTGAATTTTAAAATCATTAGTAATTTGTAAATTACTAAAGCCTAATAATTATCGGGGAAACGAGGCAAGATGCCGAATAAGGGAAGTTGGATTTTCATATAAGAAAACTTCAAAATAGGAGGACAAAATTTTAATTTACATCTTACATTTTAAAACACCAATTGGATTTTTGAAGTATTAGATTTTTTTAAATATTATTTTTAAATTGCCCTCCTGTTTGGGGCTGGAGGGGTGGCTAATGTTTTAAGGGGTTTTGTTGTTCCCAGTCTCCAATCACCGCGGTTTTTTGCACAGTATCCTCATTCCTCATATATATGAACATGCTTAAATATGGAGTTTTCTTCATGTTCCAAGGTTGCTAAGCTCAAACATCAAAAAACGTTGTTTATGGCCTTGCATTATGTATAGGTAATACACCTCTGAAAAATCTGACAGAAACATTGGCCATTGCAAATCAAAAGTTTTTTGCAGAAACACTAGACGATCTCACGAAATACCATAACAATTCAATATTGTATATAAACATAATACAAGAAAAATTTCTGAAATTTGCAGAGTTTTAAAGCCAAACTTCTTGGTTGCTTGTTCATTTAAGACACATTCACTTAGAGAAATAAAAATATTAATTGTTATGAAATATTAAAATTTACATTTTAATTATATTGAAAAATGGAAATATTTAATTTTATGTGTTTTACATCCTATATGTTTAGATTAAAGATCGAAATGCCTGATAAACTGAAACAAGCATACATAGCTCTGTTGCCTTTTTTGTTAAAATTTAAAGACTTACTAAAGCTAAACATTATTTGAATGGACCAAATAAGACTTTATTTGATCTTATTTTATCTTTTTTTTTTTCACTTTACTTTATTTTCCTTTGAAATTAAAAACAAAACATTTTTATTAACGTTTTGTTCACAATTGGTTTTTGTATGGTTTATGCAAACTTAATATAAATTGATGGAACACAGACATTATGGAATCATCTGTGGTAAATAGATGAGATTGGGGAAGAGATAAGGTTGCAATGCTATTTTGTATAAAGTTAAAAAAAAACTTTTATATAATATTTTGGTTAAATTTTTTTTATTAAAAGAGGGGGGGGGGATGATTTTATTATCCCATCACACACTTAGTACGTTGTAGTTGTATATTACAGTGTGTTACCATCTACCTTTAAAAAATAAGTGCTTTAAAAGGTTACAAGCTAACGTAATTTATGAGTTGATGAGTTTACAACGGAAAAACCACAGATGTCCAAAATGTGTGTCTTGTTTTCAAAAGAAAACTGTGAATAAATAATACTTGTATTTAGCACAAAAACTGAGTTTTTATATTGTTTAAGGACTAAAATATTAGAAAAATATACTTTTATTAAATAAATTGTTAATAAACAGATACCTAATCTCACTAAACACTCAATTTCATTTTTCTCAAAATGAGAAAAATGTGACATAAATATTTATATATATATATATATATATATATATATATATATATATTTTTTTTTTTGTATATATATATATATATATATATATATATATATATATATATATATATATAATATATATATATATATATATATATATATATATATATATATATATATATATATATATATATATATATATATATATATATATATATATATATATATATATATATTCATATATAGTTGGTGGTATTTCAATAGAAACAAACTTATTAAATCGTTTGCATCCCAAAAATTTGCTACGTATTTTGAATATATGTATATATATATATATATATATATATATATATATATATATATATATATATATATATATATATATATATATATATATATATATATATAGTATATATATATATATATATATATATATATATATATATATATATATATATATATATATATATATATATATATATATATATATATATATGTATATATATATATATATATATATATATATATATATATATATATATATATATATATATATATATATATATATATATATATATATATACATATATTTAAAATACGTAGCAAATTTTTGGGATGCAAACGATTTAATAAGTTTGTTTCCATTGAAATACCACCAACTGGCACTATTCGTTTTCTCAAGAATTTGAGATGGGTTCCTATATCTAATCACAAATCTAGAGCATCCACAACCAAAAACATGAGTTCATGTGCAACCTAATCATAAAAGATTCATCAGAATCAAACTAATAATCATCTGTATTGCAAGTATTGTTTCGAAGAGTATTCACTTGTTTTTGAAGGTCTTTTATCAAAAGTTTATACCTCTTCAGCATCATTACAACATCATCCGGTAAGCATCGGAACCATGCTGGTTTTAAACATGGGAATTCTGAGCAACCAAATAATTCAAAAATTACAAATTGGATTAAAACTGTAAAATAAGATAAGCCGGTGTAGTAGGCCGGATTTACTTAACGGTAGCGTTCACTGTACAGTAAGCCGTACCGGAAGAAAACAATCACTGTACAGTGTTTGCTACCTAGGTGAAAAGCACTGTACAGTCATTCCTACCGGCCAGGCACCAAACACTTAACTCAGGTAACATGTACTAACGACAATGAAAATGTTTTTAAAGACAATATTTACTTTTTTTAGTTTAAACTTATTTATTTTTAATAACTTTTAAAACAATTGGATTGAGTTTAAATTTTTTAAACTTCTTATTTCTAATTAAATTACAGAAAAGTTTTTACAACATGATCTCCTTCTTAAATAACAGAAAAGTTTTTACAACTTAATCTCCTTCTTAAATTAGAGAAAAGTTTTTACAACATGATCTTCTTCTTAAATAAGACCTGTTTTGAAGTTTAGGACTGAGTATTCTTATTTTCACTAACACTCGTAAGGTTATTTTTCAAGGTTTACGAGGTTCTACTACTCTTATTGACATATAGATTAGGGATTTTATTTCAGATTTTTCTTCTCCTTAGTTAGTTGATTTCACTACAACTAAGGAGTCGTACTTGCTTTATATAAAGCAAGTTGTATTGGATTACATGTATTTCAGAAGCAGTGTGACCTGACCTGAGTAGTTAAATCAATTCTATAAGTCTTATTGCTGTTGTAACCACAATGTTGGTAAAAGTTTTACAAATAAAATATATTTTTGTCAAGGCTGCTTTTAGCCCTCCGTGGACCCTGGTGTAATAAGTTTTGTTGGCCCCTCATTTCTTTGATTGTTTTCAATGCTTTATTAATTGATTAGAGTAATATTGTTTTCATAAAAATACTATTATGAGGACTCAAATGTAGGTAAAATTCCTAATATAAAATATTTTAATTAACGCCTAAAGTATTTTCTACATTTTAATTTTTTCATTCAGTAAAAATTCCATTGTGACACTAAGCCACTGCCAGCAGCAAGATTTAATAAGAGTCACCCTGGGATTTGTTCTTATACTATAAATATATAGACTTAAAAAAAAATAAACGTGCAAAAGTTCATAATCATTTAGGGATATCAATTTAAGTAAATTTATGATCACATTATTTAAGGACGAGGGGCGTTATAATTTATAATATCGAAACTTAGTAAAATGTTATAATTAGAATAACTAAGTCATATTTTTCGGTAATTTTTGTTTTAACTGGGTTGTTGTTTGTTTATACCTTTTGTTTTACACTAGAAATAATGTTTTATATGAACAAACTATTATTATACATAACTTATGTATTTAGTACCTTTTTAATAACTTGTTAGCTTTAAAGAATAAATGTGTTTGCAGTTTATTTTTGTTTACACTTTTGATCGATGCAAAAGTTATTATTTATTTTAAAAAAAAATTTTCCTGTTGAATTAATTAATTTGAAATGTACATAAATTATATAACTTTATAAAGGTATATATATATATATATATATATATATATATATATATATATATATATATATATATATATATATATATATATATATATATATATATATATATATATATATATATATATATATATATATATATATATATATATATATATATATATATATATATATATATATATATATATATATATATATATATATATATATATATATATATATATATATATATATATATATATATATATATATATATATATATATATATATATATATATATATATATATATATATATATATATATATATATATATATATATATATATATATATATATATATATATATATATATATATATATATATATATATATATATAAAGAAAATGCCTAATACAATAAAAAGTTTGAGAACTCGTAATGAAAACAAGAGATATGCTGGTTTGCCATCTGATCTTCCAGTTAGTGATCTTCCAACTTATAGGCAAGTGGTTCAATATTCCTACTTTATTTTAAAAAACATAAACAGTGTCAGAAATATTAATTCTCCAAAGATTGTTTCAAAAGTTGCCAGTGACCTTATTGATCTGTGGATTAGAGTAAATCCTAAGCTGCCTCTGATACACGAGAAGTCAGTAACCAAAAAATGTTTTAGACTTTTCATCAAAGTTTTGTCTGCAGAAGGCAAATTCAAAAATTCAAATAAAAACAAGGAGTATCTTGATTGCAATTTTGAGCGTTTATTTGATTTGTCATCATGTAATTGTGGACTTCCAGTAATAGCTTGCAATGATAAGTAAAAAAGGCCTATTTTTATTTTGAAATATTTATTATTATAAAACAAAAATCAATATTATTAAATAGTTTCATGGTTTGCAGTTCTAGTTTTCATTTAAGTTTATTTTGTAGATAAATAAATTATGTTTTGAACATTTTTATAGATCTGTGAAGTGTAGGAACCAACCAGATTGCAAGACAACACATTTTGCTTGTTTCTGTGAAGTTAACAAAAAGGTAAATAAGTTGAAATTATAAAAGTTACTTTAATTTAAATCTATAGTTTGTTAAACAAGTAATCAGAATCAAAAGCTTTTCAGAAAAATAACGTAATTAATTTTCTTTGACTTTGGCAACAAATCATTTTGTTATATATATTATTAAGAAACGCATCATTGTAATATAATACAAGAATATATTATATATTGTTTTTTTACTTGACTCCATGTTTTTGTAGTATACAATATATTTGTTTTTAATTGACTTAATGTAAAGTAATTGTTAAAAAGCTCTTATACATATTATAATTTTTATGTTTTGCAATTTAAAAAAGTTTTACATTTTTCAGGTACCACTATTAGATAGAGAATATTTGAAGGATCAAAAATTGAAAATTGGAACTATTGGAAGATTTCAAATTTGTACGATTGATAAAAAAGCAGTTGTCATCGAAAAAAGAAAGCGAGACCGTGAAATTAATCAGCAGATAAAATCTGCTAACTCACTTGCTCCAGAAATTCAATGTGATCATTATATGGATTGTGATTTAGATAATAAAAATGACTCAGAAACAGATCCTGACTATTCGATAACTGCACCAGCTGAAAGAAATCAAACTTATTTAACAAACTTGGCAAAAGCCGTTATTAGGTATGAAATAAGCGATGTTGCAACAGCTGCATTGGCAACAGCTGTATTAATTGACTATGGAATTGTTAAAAAAAGTAATAAAACACAAATAATAACAGAAAAAAAAATTTTTGGGGAAAAAAAAAGAATCAGCAGTATTATAAGCTCTAAACATTTAGCTGACGTTAAAGAATTAGAGGTTATTGGAGTTGATGGAAAAAAGGACAAGTTTACATTGATACATTCTATCAGGTATAACAGTAATGGAGATCCAGTTGATGTTGCTGCAATCAAAGAAGAATACCATCTAACGTTTACAGCAGAGAGTGGACCCACATCACAAAGTTATTTGACTCATGTAGTTATACCTAATGGAATTGGTGCAACCATGGCAAATGCTATTGCTAATGTTTTGTTGAAATTTAACAGTGTTCAGAGTTTAATTGCGGTTATTTTAGATAATACAAGTTCAAATACAGGTTGCGATAGTGGTTTGGTTGTTAAACTTGAAAAAAACAGCCATTGTTTCAATTTGTACCCATAAAGTCAGAGGTAGAGTTATTTGTTAGCAAAGAGATTATAAGTGATCTTAGTACAGACCAGCGCAAACTCTATGAGTATTGTGTTGGTATTTCAAAAGGTTTTATTTCTGAAAGGTTTGTTTAAAAAAAACCAGGACCAGTTTGCCATGTCAGATGGCTAACTTTAGCACTCAGAATTATGATGTTGTATGTTAGGACTAAGGAGCTATCTCTTGAGCTATTAGCAGTAACTAAGTATATTGTGCAAGTTTACTGTGTAATGCGGTTTGCTATCAAGCACTCTGGACAATACAAAGATGCTTGTCTACTCCTATATAAAAATATTCAGTTGGTCAAGCTTCAAGAAAGCAGGATTCAAAGTTTCGTTTTTACCAATCTCCAGGGAAATTCATACTGTTGTTTGCAGGAAAATTTTCTTTACTGCATGCTGCAGGATGAAAATATACATATAAGAAATCGAGCTCTTAACCAAATTCTTATAATAAGAAAATTAAAAGAAGACATAACTTTCAAAACTCAGCTTAAACCAAAATCGGTAATGAAAATAAATTTTGATGCTGGTTCTTGGGACTTTCTTGTTTCAGTTGATGAGATTCAAATTGAGCCACCAGCAACATATAGCATTACTTCAGAAAAAATTAGAGAGGCATTTGAATCTGGACAAAAACTTTGCCTAATTGATTTTCCTAACAATTCGCAATCCGTTGAAAGAGCAGTAAAACTAACCTCTGAAGCTGCTAAGCAGGTTTATGGTCTAGAAAAAAGACACAAATTCATTTTGGCAAAGAACCAAAGTCGAAAAGAGAATAAGAGAAATGTAAAAAAACGTGATTATTTTATAAAATAAATATCTAATTTTGCAATTTTCTGTGCGATTTAATTAAAAACAGCTTGCTATGACAAAGGCTATAAAAAACATTCTGACTAAGTTGTTTAGTGTTGATGAATTAATATTCCTTAAAAATAACAAAGCTACGAAAGATATAAATCGACTGTAAAAAACGTAATAAATGGCTAAAAATTAAATCAGGGCCATATTAAGGTGGGGGCGGATGGGTCTGCAGCCCCTGGCCCTTACAAAAAAATCCCCAAAGCCCTTTGGAGGCGTTGTGAATAAATAAATAAATAGAGATTCAGTAATCTATTTAAGGTAGACCTTTACAAAAAGATCTATATAAAAGTTTTACCCCCCCCCTGATAAATTTAAGACCCCTTACTTGGGGGGCTTGCCCCACAACCCCCCTGGAAGGAATTTTCTGGCCCTCAGATCCCCAAGTATAGCCTCGCTAACGCTGGGCATTTTTACCTCATCGCCACATTAGGCCCTCCTATAATAACAGCCCCAGGCCTAAAAATGCCTTAATCCGGCCATCAATTCAATTAAGATATATATTTGAACCGATTTCTCAAAGTAAATATAAGTTAAACAAAATTAAATTTATATTTTTCTTGTTATTTATATTGCAATGAACAAATTCCAGGGTGACTCTTTTCAGTTTTCAAAAAAAACACTTTCTAGGCAGTGGCTTATTGTGACACGCTAGTGACCCTTTTTTAGTTCCTGGACAACTGTATCTGTCAAGGGTAAAAAAACCATTAATTTTAGAAGACTACAAATCTCATTTGAGGTTGGCTGTCTTTTAAAATTTTAATTTTTTATAATTAACTCATTGGTATATTAAAATCTGTGTTGGCATTAAAAAAAAAACGCGTGCGATTAAAAAAGAAAAGAGGCCATCTGTAAGACAAGAAACTTTAATTGTATTCCTCAATCAAACTAATTTTGTTGTTTAAAAAGCAAACCTAAACTACTTAAAAATTAAGAAGCTTTCATTAAAAGTTTTTACAGTAAAGATAAATTTTCAACAGTATTTTGAACTAGCATAGTATCAATAAATTTAATTTCTTGTATGCTAAAACTTAAATCAAAACTTTATAAGGGAGAGTTATAAAACAAGATTAGTTTTAAAATGATAAACTGCATAACATTTTGGATTTACAAGAATAGTCAAAACAATCTTAAAATTAAGTCAATAAGAAATATAAATATATAAAGCCTTTTAAAAAGTCAATAAAAACACAACTTAATGTCAACAAAAACCAACTGACAGCTAAAACTCTATCATAATGTACACCAGTATTTTGCAGATTAACTATTTTGTCATTTTCTTATATTTCCATTAGTTTAAACCCATTTGTATTTTGAAGAAGAGATTTATAAAAAAACCACGAAAATACAGAAGCTTCAGGAAGCTTATAGTAAACAGCAATTGGTGTATCCAAGGCAGTTGCTTATACATATATTTTGACATCAGTGCCCCATTTTTGGTCAGTCTACATTTTTGAATCACTAATGTATTTTAAAACTGGTTTTGATATATAAGCACCAAAAGCATTTCTATATTCCGCTTTTAGAAGGTAATCAATTGCTAGTTAACGTAGTATTTTATAAAACTCTTGACTTAGACAAACTTCCTGACTTAAAGCTTAAAATAAGCAATTTCCATCAATGTAAAATTTCAATCATCAAGCATGTAGCTTAAAATATCTAATCTTGATTGCCTTTAATTTTATCAACACTAATTGGTTTTCCCAACTGTAACTTTTTTTTCGAACAGCGAAACCTTTTTTTAAAGGTGTTTTATTAGCTAAAGAAATCTTCAACAGGGAGCATTTCTTTGCTCTTCATTTACTATTAGAAGGTATAAAAGAGTTTGTTTTGCTAATAACAACTTCAACAATTTCAAAGATTCAGTTTTAATATCAGACACCTCATCACATGATTTTTGAAGTATTTCAACTTCAGATCTTTTCTTTGAAAGTTTCATGTTTGAGCCATGATGCTTGGTATGAAGTGTTTCACCATTTTTTTGTTTTAGCTGATAAAATCCTTTATCAATAAATGTTTCAATAACTTCGTACGGTCCATCCCAAGCAGATTTCCTTTTATTACCTTTTCTACCAGCTCTTCTAAGATTATAAACAAAAACTTAATTGCCTATATATTGAATTGGATTTGGTTTTCGTGACGTTGCTCATAGCGCTTCTTTTGTCGCAATTGAGATTTCTTTATATTTTTTTCTACTTTATGAATTACACTTTAAATGTTTTTAATTCCTTTTAAGTTTCAAATCAGCCTGTACCAAAATACCTTAAAAAAAAAACAACTAAATGTATAAAATAAAATTTAATAAATTTATTCCATGTAAGGGTAAAACAGGCTCCCTTGCATACATAACTTGAATGGGAATGGCACCGGTAGACTTGTGGCGAGTTGTTTGAAATGCAAACAATATGCCATCTAATGAATGAGTTCATTTTTCTTGCTCTCCGTTCAGCACTTTAAGCATAGAACCCTGTATAGCTCTATTAGCTCTTTCAACCAGACCATTTGCTTAAGCATAGTAAGCCGAAGTAATACGTTGACAGGTTCCAGTAATATTTAGCAAATTTTAAGAAACTTTATTACAAAATTTTCGACCTTGATTATTAATTTGAATTGAGGCACAACCATGTCGACATATAAGTTCATAAAGAAATCTGCATACCTCTTCAGCACTTTTATTATAAATAGGCTTTGCTTCAATTCATTTTGAAAAGTAATCAATAACTACACAAATTTCAACATAACCTTCTGAATTTTTAGGAAGACTACAGAGGTCAACACCAACTTAATGCCATATTTTTGTTGGAACTGGTATTGGATGCAACTCTGGAGAAACTTTTTTCATTTTTGAATTTGATTTTTGACAAGATTCATAAGTGGCAACATAACTTCGGACATTTTTAATAATATTCGGCCACCAATATCCTGAATCAATCAATTTCCATATTTTTTTATCTCTCCACACATGTCCACCTATAGCCTTTGATTAAGTTGATGTGCCTAACCCATTGTGTGCAGCTTTTTTGTACTAATTACAAGACATTTGATCTTTGACAACACATAATGTCTCTGGACCAGAAGTAACTTTCATGATTTTTCTATATTTGTAATGTAGCATACCATTAACAATTACAAACCTGTCACTTTATTTTTTAAAGTTTGTTTTAATACCCATGTTTTCTCTTCCTTCTAAATGTTCAGGAAAAATTCCTGATAATAAATAATTCTCAATATCATAAAAGTTCGGTTCTTTAATTATTTCTTCAGATTATCTTTAGTCATCTATATCTGATGATTTTTTGCCTGCAATTTTATACTAAAATATCCAAAATAATAAAAAAAGTGTTTACAGCAGTGCTATAGGCATATATTATGTGCTATTAGTGCATACATAATATGGCCATAGCACCTATATCATAAAATATAATTATCATAAATTTATAATAAAATGCATGCAAAAAATATTAGTTAAACAAGTTAATTAATTAAAATGATATCTATTGAACTATTTCAAACAACTCTGTTATATAATGATATAAACTCTGTTATATTATTATATAACAGAGTTGTTAGTCCTTAGTCTTGGCCTGGCCAAGACTAAGGACTAACAACTCTGTTATATAATAATATAACAGAGTTGAAGGAAGAGAAAACATGGGTATTTAAATATATTTATATATATATATATATATATATATATATATATATATATATATATATATATATATATATATATATATATATATATATATATATATTTGTATATATATATATTTGTATTTTTGTTGTTTTATGTTTTTTTGTATTTTTGTTGTTTTATAATTTTTTTGTGTTCTTTATTGTACAGAATGGCTCCAGAGACACAAAATATTTTTTTACCATATGTATTATTTGATACTGCTATTTTTAAAAGACCTTCATTGTTTACTTGTATAAGTTGTTTTAAAATAGGATTGAATTTTCCTTTAACAACTGATTCAATTACTTTCATTGCCTGAAAAAAAAAAAACATTTTCTTGATTTAGTTGATATCTGAATATAAACTTGGTCTATTTTTACAAAATGTGGTTTTATTTTCACAGCATTTGCTATTTACAGTTTTTGACCTTAACGTAAGGTCAAAAAATTGAATATAAAAGTCTTAAAAATTTTAGCGTCCGTCTTGGCCTTGAAACTCTGAATCTTGGCCTTGACTTTAAAACTCTTTGCCTTGTAACTTTTGGCTTTGATCTTGTAACTTGTGGTATTGGCCTTGTTACTTTTGGCCTTGTTAACAACTCTAATATAATAATTTACTATATAATACTCTTGATAACAATAATTATAATCTTAATTTGATCTAAAAAAGTTACAAAATACAAAAAAGAAGAGATAAATATTAAATTTTAAACGTTTGATTTTGAAATTTTGTTTAAACTAATACTATACTGCTATAGCAGTATGTTCACTATAGTGAACAAACGTTTTTTTTATTATTCTCCACGCTTCTTACCTCTTATTAAAACACTTACACGGCAAAATTAAAATGTTAAGTGTTCGGTACCCAAGTACAGTGTTGGGCACCTAGGTAGGAATCACTTGTCAAGTGATCGGTACCGTCAGGTAGGAATTACTGTACAGTGATCCGTACCGGTTAAGTACTTCATACCTCCTACACCGGCACAAAGTCAAATTGAATTTAATAGAGTATAAATATAATAATATTATCTTTGTCTGCTGGTATGTTTAAATCTTAAACCATTTAGCTCAGTTGGAAGACCTGGGGTTAAAAACTTTTGCTTAAAAAATACATCATTTCAACCTCTCCTCCATCATCCGACTGCATATTTGCTATTCCAAACCTTTATAATTTACTTAAACAAAGTGTCTTAGATGTTCTCTCATTGTGTGTTAGTGGAACTTTGACGATAGATGGTTGGACTAACAGGCACAATTGTTTACCTTGTTTTGGAATTCGTTTATGCGTTGTACATGTTT